CAACCTCTGCCTTGTTCCCTGAACACTAGTTTCTAGCCAATTCCTTTCCTTCTCTCACCAGGAAATGAGGGTTCTGGGAATATGAAAGATAACTTCTTATTTTGGGAGGTGGATAGAAGACACACATTAGGGCCATACTTAGTAAACACAGATGGAACTGAATTGGATGCCTTCACCTAGCCACTGGCTAAAGTTGGTAGGGTTCATGAATTCTTATCTGTAAAGGAAGGACTTTCGGCTTTCCATTTGATGGAAAAGACAATCCTACTGATGGATAAAGGAAAGAAGGGAGGGAGGGAAGGAAGAAAGGAAGGAAGGAAACAAGGAAGGAAGATCAGAAGAAAGAAGGGAAGAGAGAAAGGAAAAGTAAGGGAAGGGAGAGAAGGAGATGTGGAAGGGAGAGAGGGAGGGAGATGGGCAAGAAGCAAGGGCAGGCGAGTGGGGAGGGGCTGATGGTGCCTGCAGAGCCTTAAGCGGGCCAGGCTGGAGGAAAGGGCTTTTCCTGAACAATTCCTTTTTCTTCATGCCTTCCCAGCTCCTCTAGGTTTCTGTGGGCATCAGTTTCCAGTGTTTAAACTTATTTTTATGACTATAAAAGTTAAATATGCTTATTATAAGTAAGAGAAAGCACAGAAAACTATAAAGAAGCTGAAAAGCCCTTCATGATTCCACTGATTGTGACCCAAAGTTTGAAAGCTAGGCCTTAAAGAACGTACATGACCCTGGGCCTGCCTACCTCTGACCTCCTCTTTCTATGCCTTGTGCTCACTGCTCTCCTGCTCAACTTGCACAACTGCTGTCCTGCTCCCTGGAGTACTGTCCTGCCCTGCCCCATCAGTTCATGGTTGGCTCTTCAAATCTTTTAGGTCTTAAGTCAAATGTTGAAGGCCCAACTGTTTCTCTGTCACCTAGTCACTTTCTAACATCACAGAATTTATTTTTTATAGTCTTTATAACTACCTGGATATACATTCTTTTCTTTTTTTTTTTTGATTTTTAGTAGGGTATTTTAAAATTTTAATTCCAATATAGTTATACAGTGTTATATTAGTTTCAGGTATACAATATAGTGATTCAATAATTTCATACATCACTTGGTGCTCATCATGACAAGTGCCTTCCTTAATCCTCATCATCTCTTTCACTCACCCACCTCCCCAACCTGCTCCTGGTAACCAGCAGTTTGTTCTCTATAATTAAGGATCTCTTTCTTGATTTCTCTCTTTTTTTCCCCTTTGCTAGTTTGTTTCTTAAATTCCACATGAGTGAAATCATATGGTATTTGCCTGTCTCTGACTGACTTATTTCACTTAACATTATACTCTCTAGCTCCATCCGTGTTGTTGCAAATGGCAAGATTTTATTCTTTTTTATGGCTAAATAATTTCCCATATATATGGGAAATTATATATATATACGTATATATACGTATATATATATACGTATATATATATGGGAAATTATATATACAAATTATATATACATCTATACATCTCACATCTTCTTTATTCACCTGTTGATGGATGCTTGGGCTCATTTGATAATTTGGCTAGTGTAGATAATGCTGCTATAAACATCAGGGTGTGTATACCCCTTTGAATTGGTGTTTTTGTATTCTTTGGGTAAATACCCACTAGTGTGATTAATGGATCATAGGGTAGTTCTATTTTAAATTTTTTGAGGAACCTCCATCCTGTTTTCCACAGTGGCTGCACTAGTTTGCATTCCCACTAACGGTGCAAGAGGGTTCTTTTTTTTCCACATCCCAACACTTGTTTCTTTTTTTTTTTTTATTTTAGCCATTCTGACAGGTGTGAGGTGACATCTCATTGTAGTTTTGATTTGCATTTCTTTGAATGCAAATGATGAATTATGTTGAACATCTTTTCATGTGTCTGTTGGCCATGTGGGTGTCTTCTTTGGAAAAGTGTCTCTTCATGTCTTCTGCCCATTTTTAAATGGATTACTTGTTTTCTGGGTGTTGAGTTGTATAATTTCTTTGTAATTTTGGATATTAACCATTTATTGGATATATAATTTGCAAGTATCTTCCCAGATGTACATTCTTTATTGGTTCAGTTGTTTAATTGTGGTTTTCCCCACCTAAAATGAGAGCTCCATCAGAACAAGTACATTCATCACTGTGTTGTACCTGGCACATAATAGGTACTTAATATTTGTTGAATGACTGATCAATACTTTTTGCTTCACAAAGCTTTTACATATACATGAATTTGTATAATCTCAGTAAAATAAGGGAATGGATTATGAAATTCATTTTCTAAGTGAGGGAAAGGAGGCTTAGAGAGGTGGAGGAATCTGCTTGAAGTTACAGAATCAATCCCTAGTGGATGTGGACCTGGAACTCATATGTCATCATATCCAGTTCACTGTGGTCATTGTGCCTCCTTGATGCTATGCTTTAAGGTGAAGGTGAGGATTTTTTTCTATGTGCATGTTAAGGAAAAACTGATGACTGGTTGGTCCTTTACATAAGGAGGCTTAGTCATCTTTTTGCGCAGTCTTGGACAGACTGCTTTTAACGAACTTGACATAAACAGCCCCATGAACAGCAGGAGGGCTAGAGGAGGATGAAAATCTTGGACAGATGTCTGGTTGCTCATGGGGTGAGTCAACCCACAAGGTCAAGGCTGTCTTCAACTCACTGATCTTTGGGAAAGTCCTTGTCAGGGGATAATCAGTTCTTTCTAGCAAATTTCTGAATCCAGGCATGACGTAGCAGTGAGATTGTTCTTGCTTTAGTCCAGTGGTGCAGAACTTGTCAGTTGATTATCCAAAGAGCCCACTCCCCATTCTTTTTTACTCACTGGAGCTCACTTCCACTATTATAGATGGAAACATCCAGAGACTGCTTTCTAGATATCCTTTGCAACATGGGTATGTGACCTGATCTGGGCAATGACTTCCTAAGGGAAGTTTCCTGGGGAGAATGGATGCTCCTAGGAAAGAACTTAATCCAATCCAAGATAATAGAGGTGTAAGGGAGGAGAAATTCTCTGTGTGGTGATGTGATTCTTTGAAGATATTTTGGCTGTCTTTGCAACCATGAGGGGGAACATCATCATCTTGGTGAGGACAGCAGGATGAAAAGATGAAGAGAGCCTGGACCATTAAGGTCCTGACCTAGTTGAGCCACTGAACCAACTCTTGAACTTCTTCCAGATTTTTCAGAAAATGGGTGAATAAATGTCCTTTTTTGTTTCAGGCATTTGTAGTTGAGCGTTCCTTGCCAAACCTGAAATAGCCAAAAGTATCTTAAAAGACATTTCCAATTTTGTCTCAGAGTCCTGCATATTCTCTTTATGAGAGTCCTGCATACAAGTTGCTGTTATTAAAATGGAAACTGGGTTTTCCTAGGCCTTACTCAACTGTAGACTGGGAGAGGACCTACGAATGGTAATAACTATTAGTTTTTCACCATTTCTTGTCCCTACCAGCATGGGGCAGCACCTTCTGTAGTCACCCTCCCCCTTTTATCCACCACAAAGTCTCATCCAGCTATTTCTCATAGTCTACGGGTCTCAAGTGAGTTCAAGAGCCAGTCCCATGTTTTTCTGCTTCATTTCCTTTGTTGTATGCACTTCTTGTGAAGCCTCTTGATGGTATATCTTCTCATTGTTGTGCTTCCTTGTTGATATGAGAAGATCACTGAAGTGGGAGCAGAGAGATTTGCTTCCTATTTGGGCTCTGCCATTGACAAAATGACCTTGGATGAGCCTGTGCTTCCTGCTGGGCTCCAAATACTATCTGACCATGATGAGGTAGGTGGATGATATCATCTCTGAGGTAGTGTCTCAACAGTGAGATGTGGGGATTTTAAACTCCTGTTCTCAGAGCTTGGGTCTGCAGTGTGTGCCAGCTGGGAGCACAATCCCTGTGTCACCTCCCTGGCTGATACATGGGCGTAGGCTCTGCCCTCATCTGCTATGCCAAGGGTCAGAGCCACGGCCTGCCAGAAGCCCCCTGGAGGTGGGTATTTGCACTGAGGAGTTTTGCTTCTGCATGGGGGGTGTCTGAGAGGTGGCCGGGAGGGAAGTGTGTGAGCAGGTGGCTCCTTATCTGCAGTGAAATCAAGAGTAAGGCCATCTGTCTTTGTTAGGAATGCATATGCTAGGAATTTTACCTTGTCAAAGTTTTATTCTAGTCCAGACCTACAGATGGAGCAGGCATTTACTGGAACTGAAGGGAGAGGACAGGGAAAGTAGCACATCAGGCAGAGGGAATAGCATGCACAGTGGCTCTGAGATGGGGGAGAGTGTGATGTTTGAGCACCTGAAAAAAGTGAGTGGAAATAGGCTGGAGGAGGCAGGAAGTAGCATGCACAGGGTCTGGCTGGCCATGGTGAGGATGCTGAATCTGCTTGTGAGACCTAACTCTGAAAGGCTTAGAGCAGAGGGAATATGAGTAGACCTGTAGTTTGGCTGCCACAAGGAAAAAGGATAGAGCAGAGCCCAAGTGGATGTGTGGTTCTGAATAGGAGGTTAACACAGTCATTAGCTATAGGTGACAGTACAGAGACTAGACTGGTGGGGCAGGGATGGAGAGAGGTGGATGGGCTTGAAATATACATAGGAGGAAAAGCCATTTGGCACTGATTTGGCTACAGAGGGTGAGGGAAAAGGAGGTATCAGAAGTAACTCCTTGATTCTGGATTCTGTAGCTATGTGAAAGGTGGTGATCTTGGTAAGATGAGGAACTCTGGAGAGGTCAGGCCTATAAAGATGCTCAAGTTCAACATGATATAATGAGCTTGAAGTCCATTTGAGACATCTAAGTGGGGTTTTGTTAGTGGGTTTAGTGGATCAATCTAAGTTTGCAAGCTTTGCTGGCTATGGTGAGGCAATTGTACCTGATTTTAAGAGCAATGAGAAGACTTTAAAAGGGTTTGGGAAGATGGGGCCATGCTTTTGGCTTCATTGTGAGAATAGATTGGAAGAGAGCCAGAAAGAAAGTATGGGAACCTCTGGAGGTGAAGGTACATGGCAGTTGCAGCAGGGATGCTAATGGGACCACTGAGAAGAGAGAAGCAAGAGTGGGCCACTGGCTCCTATCTCTCCCATGAAATGTGGGCAGCTTTCCCCTCTCTAGACCTGGGCCTCCCCATTGGAAAGGAACACTTTGGTCTGTATAGTCAGGCCACCTCAGGCTCTCGTACCCCAGTTTGGGATCACTGCATCTGCTTTCTCGGGAACAGATCAGTATTTCTATGGCAAGGGAGGCTGGAGAAGAGTCTCTGCAGGACCAAGAAGAGGCCCCTTTGCTCACTTGCATCTGGGAAAGAGGGTTGCAATTTGCATGAAAGAGGCAGGCAGCAGTACACAGATGGCAGCTCTGTAATTGCATTTCTGTGCCTCATAGCTCCTGGAGCACTGCATCTGGGACTGCTGGGTTCCTTCAAACTCAGTTCCAGGGAGACCAGGACTGAGAAGAACCGGCTTGCTGAAGGTCCCTCCTGCACCTATGTGGAAGGCCCGGGAGGTCAACTACTGCCCAGGGATGCAGCCTGGGGTAAGGGTTACCCAGGGTCCCACATTGATGGTTTCTGTCAGTGTCTGTCAGATGTTACTGGTCCGAGAAGAGATAAGCATAGAACTTAAGTTAACCTTCAGAAACATTATAAATTTGACATAGCAATTTTATTTCTGTTAAGTCTAATAATAAAAAAATGGGTTTGTACTTTGTAGGTTTTTGCATTGTTATTTCATTTTTATAGAAATTCATTTTTTTTGTGTGTATTACAAAAGTATCAGTCTGCAACAGATTGGAAATAAAAATGAACCATGGTACTTCTGCCTATGTAGTGGGAGAAGCACTGGTCTAGGTGATCTTGGGCAACCACTTTCCTTTTCCAGATCTCAGTTTCTCCACATGTGGATAAATGGTGAGCATGTTTGGAGGTTTTGGGGAACTTTTGGCTCTGAATCTTATTTGTTTATTATTTCACTCAAACACTATTTATTGGGCATCTACTTTGTGCCAGACACAGTAGGAAAAGTTTAGAATACAATGGTGAGAAATATCAGAAGTGGCCCCTGCACCTTTGCAGTTTACGGTGAGAGAATAAACAGGGACATATATCAGATTATATGACACATACAGGGACACATATGAAATTATAGTTATAGGAAGTGCAATTAAGGAAAAGATTGGATCAACAGTGGAACTTGTCCTGCCCAAGGGTCCAGGCAAGAATTCCTGAAGAAGTGTTATATAACCTGGAGTCAGAGAGATTTGTAGGAGATGATTAGGTAAGGTATTTGCCCCTCAGGATCCACTTTCTATCTTTGTCCATCCTGCTCTGTGCTCAGGTGGATGACCTCCAGGGATTGCCTCACCAGGCTCTTGCTTCCAGCAGGTTTGGGCCAGAGGAAGAGATGAGTGGAAAGAAGCAGAGTGAGGTCATGGTGTTTATTTCTCTGGCTCCCTCCCTGCCTGGGATGGCATTCCTCTACTTGTGGCTTCTGTGGCAACCACAAGACAGATCTCTGCGGAATGCATAATTAACTGCGGGCTCTAATTTCTATGCTGTGAAACCTACTCCCTCATTACACCAAGACCATGTTTTGCATGGGCTGCTCCCAGTCTGTGGCTGTGCAGTGGGGTACTAAAGCATTCCTGGGAGATACAGGACTTCTCTGCTGGCTGATTTTGTCTTGAGGGCTCCCTGATAATGTTTACAGAACTCCTTTAGTCTGCACAGTTTAAGATGCTCCTACCCATCCGTCTTTCCCTCTATTCTTCATTTGGGGTCAGATTTATATCATGTCTGATGGCTCTCCCAGCCTTTCTGGGTTCCCTACCTATTTTCTCTCATAAAAATTTTCCCTAATAAAATCTTTGCATGCTTAATCTCAACTTGGCATCTGCTTTCTGGACATCTTGCTTTTGTTGAGAGGCCCTTTGCCTGTAACCTCAAGCTCACTGGTTCCCAGGAGCTACTCTTTCTACTTTAGGCCTGGCTGTGATTCTCACTGTTGCTAGTCTCTGTGTGGTATTTCCCCTAGTCCTGCCTGCAACTTTTCAAAAACCCCACCATTAAACTCTATGAAGTTACTGCTATAGACTGAATGTTTGTTTCCCACCAAAATTCATATGTTGAAACCTAATCCTCAATGTGATGGTACCTGGAGAAGGAGCCTTTGGGGTGATTAGGTTATGATGGCAGAGTCCTCAAAAATGCAGTTTGTGCATTTTTTGTAAAAGAGACCCCAGAGAAATGATCCCTCACCCTTCTTGCCAAATAAGATAATAGAGAAAAGACAGCAGTCTATGAACAAGGAGACAGGGCCTGACTGGACACAGAATCTGCCAGTGCTTTGATCTTGGACTTTCCAGCCTCTAGAACTGTGAGAAATGCATTTATCTTACCTCTAGGACACCCAGTCTCTGGCTCTGTTATAGCAGCCTGAACTGACATAGACAGTTTACCCCTTTTGAACTTGTTTCCACCAGAACTCTGACTGATACCATACTCTAGGCACAGAGGATAGTATAGTCTGTGCATTGGCCTGATGTGTGAGGGACAGGTTGGTGGAGGAGGACCAGGGGAGAGAAATACAAAATGACTTGAGTTTGTATCTGAAAAGCATCATAAAAAAATTTTTTTTGAAGAATTTTAGGCAGAGGTAATAATATCACACTTGCACATTATAAAGATGATATGGTTGTATTGTGAAGAATAGATTTGGGGTGGGTGTGGAGTGGATGTAGGGAGACTAGTTAGAAGGCTATTGGTATAGTCCAGGTGAGAAATGGCAGCAGCTTGGACCAGGAAGGTGACAGTGATAGTGGAGATTAGGAGGTGGATTGGATACTGGGGTTTAGGAAAAGGGAGATGAAAAGAATGACTCCTCAACTTTGGCTTATATCCTTGAATGGAGGATGTAGGTGCTGTTTAATGAGATACTGTACACTGAAAGACAATTAACTTTCTGAGTGGGGAGATCATGAGTTTGATCTTGGACATGCTGAATTTTGAGGTGCCATTGAGATTGCCAAATAGGGAGATAAGTAAGCAACTGAGCCCAGGTCTAAGCAATCAACAGAGGAGACGACTAGGGTGGAGATAGACATTTTGGTGCCATTTGTACATATAGAGGCATGAATGAGATTTCTTGGGGCAAGAGAAGAAAATTAGAGAAAACAAGGTTTTAGGATCTTTATAACCTTAGACGTGGCAATGGATTCTTATATATGATATCAAGAACATGAGCAACAGAAGAAAAAATAGATAAAATGGAATTCATCAAAATTAAAACTTGTGTATCAAAAGGCATTATCAAAGTAAAAAGACAACCTACAAGATGGGAGAAAATTTTTGGTGACCATATATTTGATAAAGGTTAAATATCCAGAAGATATAAAGAACTCCTACAATTCAACAACAACAAAAAAGAACAACTGAGTTTCAAAAAAGGGCAAAGGACTTCAATAGACATTTCTCTAAAGAAGAAATACAAATGGACAATAAGCACACGAAAAGGTGTTCAACATCATTAGTCATTATGGAAATGCAGATCAAAACCACAATGAGATTCTACTTCATACCTATTGGTATAGCTATAATGAAAAACATGGAACATAGGTGTTGGTGAGGATGTGGAGAAGTTGGAACTCTTGTGCATTGCTAGTGGGAATATAAAATGGTGCAGCCCCTGTGGAAAACAGTATGGCAGTTCCTCAAAAAGCTAAACATAAACTTAGTGTATGACACAATTCCGCTCTTAGATAAACTATACGCTTGGGGCACCTGGGTGGCTCAGTCGGTTAAGGGTTTGACTTTGGCTCAGCTCATGATCTTGTGGTTCATGGGTTGGAGCCACGCATTGGGCTCTGTGCTGACAGCTCAGAACCAGCTCAGAAACAGTCTCCAGCCTGCTTTGGATTCTGTGTTTCCCTCTCTCTCTGTCCCTCCCATACTCATGCTCTATCTCTCTGTCTCTCAAAAATAAATAAACGTTAAAAATTAAAAAAAAAAAAAAGATAAGCTGTATGCTCAAAGGAATTGAAAGTAGGGACTCCAACAGATATTTGTATGCCAAAGTTCATTGCAGCACTATTTACAATAGCTGAAAGGTGAAAACAACTCAAGTATCCATCAAGAGATTGAGTGGATAAACCAAATGTGGCATACATATACAATGGATATTTTTCAGTTATAAAAAGGAAAGATGTTCCAATACATGTTACAACATGAATGAACCTTGAAAACATTATGCTAAGTGAAATAAGGCAGACACAAAAGGACAAATTTTGTATAATTCCACTTATCTGAGGTGAAATAGGCAATTTCATAGAGACAGAAAAGAGAGAAGTTACCAGAGGCTGGAGGGAGGAGGAAATGGGGAGGTGTTGTTTAATGGTTACAGAGTTCCTGTTTGGAGTGATGAAAAGGCTTTGGAAATAGATTGTGGTGATGGTGGTAAAACAATGTGAATGTAATTAATGCTATTGAATCATATACTAAAAAATGTAAAATTTTGTTTCATGGATTTTATATCTCTTAATAAATTTGTTTTTTTTTTAATTTTACTTATTTATTTTGAGAGAGAGAGAATCCCAAGTAGGCTCTGCACTGTCAGCACAGAGCCTAACATGGGGCTCAAACCCACAAACTGTGAGATCACAACCTAAGCCGAAATCAAGAGTCAGACACTTAATCAATTGAGCCACCCAGATGCCCCTAAATTTGTGTTTTAAGAAAGATTTTAGGACTGAGTCTTGAGGAATTCCATCATTTAATGGTCCACTAGAGAACAGTAGGTTTACCAGCATACTGAGCATGAGACATCAAGTTGAGAGAAGGAAGTCTGGGGAGCAACGTGTCATGGGAGTCTGTGAAGAGGGTCCTCTAAGTGTATGGGAGGGGGCAAAAGGTCAAATGCTGCTGCTGTGAAAGGTAATGTGAAAACCACAGATTCATTGGTTCAGCAAGATGGGGGTCTTTGGTAATCTTGGTGAGACTTCTTTGGTGGAGTACCAGATAGGATGTCATATTTTAGTGGATTGAGTCAGTGGGTCGTGAGGAAGTGGTAATACTGAGTAGAACCACATTCCCACTCCTCTCTCCCTGTGTTGGGGCTTAAAGTGGGTCCCTTGGCTGATTTCAATCCCAAAGGAAGTGAATGTCCAACTTCCATTCTTGCTTTCTGGGTCTCTGGGCTCCTTCTGGGCTGGGGCCAACCTTCCTTTCAGATTTCATGGCCACTACCAATTCTAGTCCAGTGTACTTTGCCTGAAAACTGGCAACATGCCTCCTAGTGCTTTATTTTTGAGAATCATCAGGGGACACTCATTTTACAACAGAGGATGGTTGAGAAACAAAATGAAAAGTGAATAGGAATCTGCAAAAGGTAGCAGAAAGGGATCTGGAATGAGATTTATCTTTGTTTTGGCAACGAGCTCTGTGTGGCCCAGGCCAGGGCACCAAGAAGGGAGAAGGTTAAGTAGGAGAGCCTGCTCTTCATGGTGCTGACCCACATTGCCCAATGGAGGCTGAAGCAGGCTTTTGTCTCTTGGATACTGGGAAGCATGTGATCCTCACACTTTGTGCCTCTCTGCTGCCTTTTGCAGTTCTGTTTTTATTGGCCTTAGGTCTAACTGGATGATTTTTATACTGAACATCTCTTTTTTTCTGTGCCAAACATCCAGTCCTCTTCTGATAATCACACTTTGACTTTTATTTTGGGAACTACATTTTCCTCACCCTCAGTTCATGTAGTTGGGGTGAATATGTCTCCTAGGATAATTGAGTAAGTGATAAAAATGTGATTTGTTGGGTCAGTAAAAGTCAACCTTGGATATTTGTGGAAACTATTGGCAAAGGGGAGCTCCTTTTCCTTCGGGATTATTATATTGGGAGAACTTTCTAGAGCCATCCCTTGAAAGGAATACAAAAGCTGATATAGGAGGAAAGCTAAATTCAGAGAAAAAGAGATAATGAGATGGAGAAAGTACTGAGCCCCTGGATGCAGCTCTGCCTGAAAGCAACATGCCCCTGAACTTTTCAGTTATATGAGATGATTGGTACTGTTTTTTTTTTTTTTTTGACTACACCATTTTGAGTTGTATTTTTGTCATTTGAAACAATGAGAATTCTAATACTTCCAGTAAGAGCATTTCTAGTTCTGTTGTTTTAGGAATTTACAGGTCCTTCACACCAGAAACATTGCATTTAATATCTGCTGATACAGGGGTTAGAAAGCAGCTATTCCTCTAATGCCTTCTCAGAAATGGAAGATGGGATTTAAAAAACAGCTATTGGGGCGCCTGGGTGGCGCAGTCGGTTAAGCGTCCGGCTTCAGCCAGGTCACGATCTCGCGGTCCGTGGGTTCAAGCCCCGCGTCAGGCTCTGGGCTGATGGCTCAGAGCCTGGAGCCTGTTTCCGATTCTGTGTCTCCCTCTCTCTCTGCCCCTCCCCCGTTCATGCTCTGTCTCTCTCTGTCCCAAAAATAAATAAAAACGTTGAAAAAAAAAATTTTAAAAAACAGCTATTGATGCATAATTTATATACCATAAAAGTAACCCATTTTAAGTGTACAATTCAAAGATTTTTAGCACATTTAGAGTTGTAAAATCTACTATTAGAACATTTCCATTAAACCAAAAATATTTCTTGTGTTCATTTGCAATCAATCCCTGTCTCAGCCCTAGGCAACCATTAATCTACTATTTATCTATAGATCTGCTTTTTCTGGGCATTTAATATAAATTGAATAACACAGTATGTGGTCTTTTGTCTGTGGCTTCTTTCACTTAACTTAATGTTTTTGAGTTTCATCCATGTTGTAGTATTTCACAAGTTATTTACATGGATTGCTTTCATTTTTTGGTTGTTATGAATAAAGCTTCTAAGTACATTTAGATACAGGTCTTTGTGTAACCATATGTTTTCATTTCTTTTATGTAAATACTTAGAAGGAGAATTTCTGAGCTGTATGGTAAGTTTTATATTTAACTTTTTAAGAAACTGCCAAACTATTTTCCAAAGTGGCTGCACCAACATTACATGAGGATTCTATTTTCTCCACATTCTCCCCAACACTTGTTACCTTCTGTCTTTTTGATTGTAGACATTCTAGTGGGTGTGATGTGCTATCTCACTATAGTTCCAATTTGCATTTTTCTAATGACTAATGATATTGAGTAGTTTGTCAGGTGCTTATTAGTTATTGTACACTTTCTCTGGTGAAATTTATATTCAAATCTTTTGCCCATTTAAAAATTTGTATTGTTTTATTAAGTAGCAAGTATTCTTTCTATATTCTGGATTTCAGTCTTTCAGGCAGATATATGATTTGTAAATATTTGGGAGATGGGATTTTACATCTAGAAGCTAATGGTTCCTACCTATTTCTTCAGGCCCAGTGTGGACCTTGGCATATCCTGGAGACTGTTACAATCTGCCTTCAAACCCTCTTACTTCACAGGTATATATCCTACTTCCAAACTATCTTACCCTCTACCCCAGAACTAGGTCCTTACTTTAGTTTTCTTGTCTGCAAGCAACATAAACCAAATATAGATGAACTAAATGAAAGGTAATTTGTTGGTAGGAATTCTGGACCTGTTGGCCAAGCCATGCATAAGCCACATGTCTACCCCCTAGCTATGCCAGGAGAGAGGGGGAAAGATCTGGCCTCCCTCACTGGAGGGTAGGACCCTTGATTTACTCTTTCACCAAGACTCCTCATAATGGAGGAGAGATCATTTCCATATAGGAAATCAGGGCACTGTTAAAATGGGGCAAATAGATGCTGCACAGCCAAAAATTAAGTGTTCACTCTGTAGGATCTTCATTAGGAATGTCACGACCTACTAGCAATAACTCCAATTTGGCCATGCCTTGTAAAGAGTGATGGCTCTTTGTAGGATTAAGGTGAGGCATCATTTTCTGGAACACATGTCTCTGGTGCCGGAGATTCTGGAAATAATAAACATTTGTGTAATTTGAAGAAAATTCAATAAATAGGACTGATGAGCAGAGATTAGTGGGGAGAAAATTTCCACTGAATGTAAGAATAGGATTTCTGATAGGGTTTTCCAGTGATGGAATGGGCTTCCCTAGAGGCAGCAATGTCTCCAATAGAAGTGTGTGTAAGCCAAGGCTGGATAAAGATATGTCTTCCTATGGTTAACTTTATGTTTCAACTTGTCTGGGCCACAGGGTCCCCAGATATTTGGTTAAACATCATCCTGGGTGTGTCTGTGAAGGTGTTTCTGGAGCAGATTAACAGTTGGACTCGTAGACTGCTTAAAACAGATTTCCCTCCTCTATGTGGGTGGGTCTCATCCAATCTGTTGGAGGTATGAATAGAACAAAGGTGCAGATAAGAGAATTCTCTCTCTCTACTTGACTGAGGTGGCACATGTGTCTTCTCTTACCTTCAGACTCAGACTTGGACCGTATCTCACACCATCTGCCCTCCTGGTTCTCAGGCCTCCTGCTTGCTGACTAAATATTTTGGGACATTTCAGCCTCCATAACCATGTGAGCTGATTCTTTATAATAAATAAATAAATAAATAAATAATTATCCCATTGATTCTGTTTCTCTGGAGAACCCTAATGCAATGTCATAGGCAAAATGGCAAGATGAACTCAGAAGTCTTGTCTATCCCAAGAATCTCTCATGCTACCCTGTAGAAGCTCTGAAGAAGTTCCACTTGGTGGCTACTGTGTGGGTTTAGAAAGCTTAGTTCTGGATCTTCTACCAGCTGTGGGCCCTTAGCCACAGTGAGTCTTAGTTTCTTCTTCTATAAAGAAGGATAATAATAGACCAATGGTTCCCATATTTGGCTGCACAATGAATCATCTAGGGGTCTTAAAAAATACTGATTCTCATCCCCAGACATTCTGATTTAATTGGCATGAAGTATGAGTTTGTAAAGCTCCCCAGGTGATTCTGGCATGCAGTAAAGTTTGGGAATCACTGTAATAGAGTTTGGCTGTGGAGATTATATGTGACAACTCATGCAAAGCAGCTAGCATGGCATGGCAGCTCCAGCAAAGGCAGCTGTTAGGAATAAAGAGATGAAGTCATGTTTGACCTAAAGATTCCCAAAGGGAGTGATCAACAGTTTTCCTTGCCCTGACTTTTTACATTGCGCTATGCTGCTTTTCTTCTGCTTCTCAATCAGGCCATTGGCCTGAGCATTTCCAAGGAAGAAGGCGGGGTTATCTTTTTAGAGAGGACTTGGGAAGGTGAGTGGGAGGGACAGATTTCTCTCTGTCTCTTCACTCCCAAATATGTTTTCCAGACAGTGCCAGCTTTATTTACAAAGGAACTATAGCTGTATGTGTGTGTGTCCTAAATGTCCCCTGCAGCCCCCTGTCCCTGGAGAGCAGCTCAGCTCTGCTGGGCTCCATAAACAACAGTATCTGGAAGCCCAGAACCCTCTGTCCAATTTCTGTGTGTGTCCTTATGTCCTTCCTGCTTTCATGCCTGGATCCCCAGGGCTGCCTCTGCTTCACATAACAGCTGGATACAAAATGAAACTTTCCATCAACTTTTAGGATAAACTCATCTCCACCAGGCACTTTATGAATTTAATATATTCTACTGAAGATTTGAAGATCACAAGGTAGGGACACATCATGGAACCTATTACAAAGATTCTTCCATTGACCAAATCCACTCAGGCTTCCCTTAACTCTTTCTTCAACCAGGCCTGAATTTTGGATTTCTATAGTCATCTCTGCATTGTCCAATTTTAGCAAGAGCCCTGCTAAGTCAGTTTAACCAGAAACCCACCTCCCCCACCATCCTTAATGTCTGATCACCCTCCAAATATGGTTCCTCACCCCCACCATCCCTGATCAGGTGTGATCACCTTGCTCTGTCTTCAGCAAGTACCCTGTTAGGTGGGGTTAAGGCCAAACACTTGGTTCTTAGATCTGCTTTGAAAGTATAAGCTGTGTTATAGTTTTATTATTAATCTAGCCTCATGTTCTGTTCTTTACTTAATTGGGTTTCCTTAAGCTCTGTGCATGGTTAATTATTAGCTTTGCCCTTTTCACTCTACCTCTTGTTTGCACATTGATTATAAGAATGTGATGGAAAACAGAAGGTGACATTTGTCTTAAAAAGATCCCAGGTGCCAGATGGTGTCTCACTGTCCAGAAGAATGCATATCTTCAAATGGTTTCAAGACTTCCCACTAAATTTTCAAGAATCCCATAAACCCTGACCAATCATGTATAAACTTCCCCTAGGATGAACAAGGCAAGGTAAATTTAGGAACAATCCTCTGTCTTCTTGTTGGCTGCCCTTTTGAAAATAAAGCTTTCTTTGCTTCAAAACCTGTGTGCCAGCCACTGGCTTACTTCACATCAGGTTCATGGGCAAGTTTGACTTTGGTAACAGGTTTAACCAGAATTCCCCCAACCCCTGATGTTTCCTTTTTCTGTCCACTGACTTCCACCTGCTCCTTGGATATAAATTCCCATTGCCCATGCTGAAATCAGAGTTGAGACCAACCTCTCTTTACTGCTGCAAACTCCCACCTCAGTGGTCTCTACACCTAACATGATAGTCCATCCCCACCTTGAATGAAGTCTTCCTTACTGTGCTTTAACAGATGTCATTGAATAATTTTTTCTTTACCACTTAAAATGAATTCTTTTTTCCTTTGACACCTGCCACTTTCCTTGGTCTCACAGGAAACTTCTCTCCCTTTTCTCGGCCACAAAATCCTCACCTCAACAAAACAAATTTCTCTCTTGGTCTTCTACAAAAAGGTATGGGGAAATACACACTCTTCTATGTTCCTGGTGTTAGTATGGATTGGTAAAATATCTTTGGGGATAATTTTGCAATATTTATTTAAATTTAAAATGGACTCACCCTTTGACCCAAGAATTACATCGCTAAGAATTTTCCTCCGTATATACTTGCACGCATACGAAATGAAAACTGGACAAGATTATTCAAAAGATTAAAAACCACCCAAATGTTCAGTAGTATGTACATGTTTAAATAAACTATGGTACTTCCATGTAATGGAAGCCATCACGTATATTTCCATATAGCCATGGAAAGAATAAGGAAGCTCTCTATGAACTAATGTGGAATGGTTTCTAAGAGATTTCAGGTGCAGGTTACACACACATATATCTGCTTGCACATGTATAGTAAATCTCTGGGAGCATGCAAAATTAGTTATTTATGGGGAAGGAAACTGAGTGAGAACAGTGGGGGCAGGGATATTTTTGCTAAAAATGCACCACACTTCCAAATTTTGGAAACTTCAAGTTTATTGTTTATTCAAAAATTAAATTATAAATAATAACAAAAAAGACAGCACAGTGTCTGGCACACAGTATGAATTCAATAAATGGTAGCTTATTATTATTGTTGCTGTTTTTGTTGGGTTGAAAACACCTAGTACAATTTAGAGTCAGATATGTAAATCAAAGGCACTTATGATATGAGAACATTGTTGAGGGAAACATTCTTGGCGGTTTTTTAAAATTTTATTATTTTTAAAATTTACATCCAAGTTAGTTAGCACATGGTGCAACAATGATTTCAGGAGTAGATTCCTTAATACCCCTTACCCATTTAGTCCATCCCCCTCCC